TGCTTCAGCAGTCGTACCGGTGTAGTCTTCAGTAGGTACCTATATTTATACCTATTTAAAAGCTGGTAAACTTAATAAATGATAAACTGATAAGTGTGAAAACAACATTTTGTTTTATCTTTGATAATGAAACTCAATGGAGTACGGATAGTTGTTGTGTAAGAACTAATCTAGCGAACGAGTGTACTGCCGTAATTTTCCTTGTGACCTGATACTGGATGAGACATTAATGTCGTAATTTTCAAAATGTTATGTTTTTATATGCAAAAAAAAATCGAAACACTATGAGTACCTACTCTAAAGGCTATGTATTCTGTATCTATATTACAGCACTCAATCAACTTAAATGGATGTAATCAATAATAGATAATAAAATAACTTAATATTTTTGGGGTTTAGGTTAGTTGTGCACTTTCTCATGGTGCACCCTGGTTAGCTCTAAATGAATTGGGACGAATTCGGTCTATGTTGAAAAATTATCTTTTTTTTATTGAGTGATCAAGTGATCTCAAAATCCGAACACACTTGGAAAATTGAAAAAGGATCATTTCGGGACGCACTCGGGTATCCCCGATAATTTTACGTTACCCAAAGCGTCCCGTGTGAACGAATTTTGTAAAAAAAAATCTAGCCCCGATCATAGCTTAAGTATAGCTCATACTATTTATATTTGAAAATATTATATTCTTTACTATCGATAAATTTAAAAATTATTAATACTGGATACAAAGCTTAAACAATTTGCGGTTTTGGGTACTCCTAATCCCTTTCAGTCATTTTATTATTAAAAATGTTGATGCGCAATTGATCCAACTGTTTAACGTTGCGCAAATGATTCATGAAAAAATTCGTAAAGAAATAATAGTTTTGCGCAAATGATTTACGCAGCTTTCTAGAAGCGGTATAATTTTCGAAATATTTCAGCGTGTTTTTGAATTATGTATTATCATTTTAATGTTTTTAAGTTCTTTTAAATGGTTTTTTTTTTTTTTAATTTTTACAGATTTGTACTATACAACAGCAGTTTCCATTATTATTGGGTTCTTATTGTTTTTTTGTTTTTTTAGTTTATGAATTACTTAATCGTTTTCTGCGCAAGAGCGGTACAATATGTATATTAAATAGTTTTTAACGATCGATACTAAATGTATTAATTATAATATTTTTAATCGTCTAAAAGTAAAGAAAGTATTATTTGGAAGTCGAATAAATTATTTGATTGCGTAATATACGATATTATTTTACGATGCCATATCTAAAAAGCCTAATTGAATTTTGTAAATCTCATAATATGAATTTTAATGAAAAATTAAATAATTAATATAATTACCATGTTAATCAAACAAAAAAAAAATTAAATATACACTTAAATACATTTTTTGTAATTTAAAAATGCGATTTTTGTTGTGTTTTTTTCTTTTATATAAACATTGTACGGGAAATTATTCATCAGACTTTTCTTTTTCTAAAATACCAGAATGCTATGATATTATACCAATGACTTTATAATAAATTAACATCGCGCAGAAATAGGAGTTTTTTTTTTTTACTGATTCGATGTACGACTTAATGCCTTCCTCCAGTTCACAATCAATTAATAATTTATCTGCGCAATTTGCATTACTTGAATGAAGACAAATTATCCTCACAAAGTATAATTGTAATTAGGTATGATTATAATTAATGTCCGTCAGATAATATTATTCTCCGGTTAAATGTTTTAAATTATTAATTACAATTCCTGTACTCGCTCCAGCATATATATATATAGAATTTATGATGATTAGGTATATATACATTATTAAATGTCGTTCGTTTATTTCCGAGCCAAACGTAATTTTCTGGTCGTTAAAAACATTGTATACCAACACGTACGTCGCAAAAAAAAATCGTTTCATAAAAAAAACGTTTTAATGTATAAAATGAGCAGGCGTCGCTACACGTTAGTGTCTTGTCTTGATGACACGGACGAATATAATTTTAGATTTAAAATCGTATATAGCGGTAGAGAACAAATTACTCGTATTATGTATTTTCGTCCATCGTCTTGGTTTATTTTAAATCGTCCAGCTGTATAGGTACTATAAATTATATTGTAATTATACCTAATTTAAAACTCTAATCAAAAAGAAAAATAGTATATAATTTGAAGAAAACCCGAACAGATTAAATTGATACTAAATAAAGATTAGATTAAAAATATTGAATACACCACTTAGTTTTTTAAAGGTAAAATTAAATTCCTCAGGTTGGAGAATCCTGCGGAGTAATGGAATAATCAGTGGCACCGATCATTTAATTTCTCTATACCATGTGTCATAGATTTTTGTAGATAGCTGGGCTCACCAAGAGGTTGAAAAAAAAACGGCTTTTACATTGAATTATGTGGGTTGTTGATTCGAAATTGTTAAATTGAAAAAAAAAATTGGGGGCCCCTTGATGTACGATGTTATAGTATATTTTAAACATTTTGGCACCACTGATCATAACGTCAAATAAGGGCCACATTACGCAGGTGTTCAAGAAGTTCGAATATTTAGAGTGGCTTTATGAATCAAAAATCTCAGAAAAAATTAAACTTACTTATATAATAATAATTAATCATTACTAAATGCTCGAATCAAATAACATGATAGGTATAACATTTTTATGGTTATACAAGGTTTTACCGTCAAACATATTACATTGACAGAATGCCTCAAATATGCGGAAGATAAATACCTAAAATAATTAATATGTTCTAAAGAGTGAAGTTATTTATACAGCTCTTAGATATTCATTATTAAAATAATATATTAAATAATGTTAAAATAATAAATTAATTATCTATTAAGTGAAGTAGTATATTTTTAAATTGCACTTTAGTTCTTAAATAATTATGGTAAACCTTAATTTATTATTATTTTTTTTACGTTTATATTTTTTATTTGTCTTTCTATTATTCTTTTTCTAATGTTAATTAGTTAATCAATGGTATGATTATTTTCATTATATATTATGAGAGTTGGTACTCACTACTCATTCAAATGATACTATGTCTTATCACCAATTATATTATGATTTTAACTAAATAATAATAATAATTATTATTTATAATTTAAAATTTATTTCTATTATTCTTTCTAGCCTTATTATATTATAATTGATTTTAATTATTTTATTTAATTTTATAATATGGAAAACTGGCCCTTAAAATGTTAAATAATGAATAACAACATCAAGGTTTTGTCAATTTCACAACTCCGAAATCAGACCTTTTATGTTTCCTAGTTAAAAAGTACAAGTCTATTTAGAATGTATGAAAACAGGTACTGTAAATTTAAGGTAGGTTGGATTAGCCTAAACTTACCAATCAGTACGAGCATAGATAAAATCAATTAAAAACCGTACTGTATATTTTGATAATCGAAATCTGTCAAAAAAATTAATTGCATCTCCAAGTAAAATGGCTAATACGAGGTCTAAACACTCTTTTTTACCTAGGAAATACAATCAATATGGCCAAGTTATTAATTTCCTCATTTTCATAATCAAATTTTCTCAAAATTATCTTTATTGTTAAAATACATCATTTTACATACTTGGGTACTGTAATAATTCATATTATTAAAATTATTAGTCTAGAACGCTCGACATTAAACACGGTTATAATAAAACTTGAAATACAATTATCAAAAAAAAAACTTTTCTTATTTCCTATAGAACAGCATTTCTAATTGAAGTGATAAATGATAATTGTTTACAATTTTGGTAGTTAGGTAGTTAGCTAAGTTAGTTAATCGCCGTTTAATCGACCTTGTTTGTTGGCTAAATTAACCGACCTTTATCAGTGTTTAAGTATTTAACAGGCACTATACAACAGGACAAAGGTCATAATAATTGATTATAATTTAATTACTATTTAACTGTGTACTGTACAACCGGCCGTTAATGTTCGTATTCTATGGTTACGTGTATCCGATACGACAAAAATTATATGATTAGCGATCATATTTGTAATTTTGTATTCAATTATATATGCGGCGTGAACAATTTTTCAAATAACAGATACGCGATTTTCAAATTAAATAGAAGATGTCTCTTTTTAAAATGCGTAGTATCGGATTTATACCAATATACCAATATACGTTATGCAGTGTATACGTGAAAAACAAAGAAACTTCGTGTACTTTTTGGATTTCATTATACAATATACCTACCTAATATTAATATTAACCGAAATGTTTCAAACTTTTGCATAAACCTACCTCTTCTTTATTTGATCAACGAGAATAATATAAAATCGTAAAGTGTTAATGTGTTTTATTAAAATATTATAATAAATTACTCGGAAATTACAACACACCAATATTTGTGTGCACCCGGAGGCTATATTATAGTAAATAATATTGTTATACCTCATGTAGATACGAATTTCTATTATTATATTTTATTTCGAAGTTTGTTTTAAGCGATATTTTCTCTTGAAATTCACATACCTGCTGTGAATATAATATTTAATAGTGTAAAGTGGTTACTAATCGTGGTAATCGGAAATAGGAAAATAATAAAACATAAAATATGCCATTATCATAATACCATAATAAAAACGATAACAATCAATAATTTTAAATTCGATCCTTCAACGTGGTTTTCTCATCGGAAATATTTGAATTTGAATGTATTGTATACATTTATTTTTTGTTTCAAATAAAACAGCCGAGTAGGTTAGGTACTCATATAAAGTCGAGTATCTACCAACTCATGTTTATTACTTCAGAAAATAATTGCGTCGGGAATTTTTCAAAAGTCGAATACTTATCCAACTAGATATTTACGACCTTTTCCGAGTACCTATATTTTATATTATTGGCCATATAATTTGTTTACAAATTACATACTCGTACCTATACAGTGTATATGCATGTAATATCGTCTCGCAATTTTAACCCACCGTATACTTTTGAATCGTAAATATTGTAAGATAACACATTACATCAATTACATTGATAACAATTAAATAATGAAAAATCAAAATATTTCACAAACTGCATTATGTATAATTATACTTCTATACTAAGTACCATCGGACGTTATAAAATTAAAATTACTGACGATTTGAAAAATTACGCGCGTGGGGTTTTGAAAAAATTACCTACATGTATTGTTAATTAAACTTTACAATTGCGTAGCGGTTTTCCCGCGAGGATATTAATTGCATTTTAATCTCGATAGTTCTTTTAGCTTTTGGTTATAATAATATTATGTCCATATAACTTTTTTTTATTATTATTTTATTATTTATTATTACGGTTTAATGACCTTAAAAAGCATTAAAAAGTGTACCGTACATAATAATATATTATATATACTATTTGATTTATGTACGCGGTACATAATATATTTGTATGTGAAAAAATTGCATACGTAACTTTGAATGTATTATTATTTTGTTTTTAAATCCAGTATCTAGTAAAAAATTACCATAAAAAAAAAAAATAATAAAAGCCGACATACTTAACACGTCATGTGTTATATATCCCTAGGTTAAACATATTTTGATAAACTTACAAATGAAATATTGTTTAATGATAATATATATTACTAAAAATAAAAATAAAAGTAAACGGATATATTTAAGTCTTTTTTGTACATTCAACTATTTTAACATAGGCGAGTTTTAATTCAAGAAAGTATTAATTTAAAATATCTATAAATAATTTAAAAACGTTAAAATTTTTTGAAAAACGGACCTTAAATATTTCTTGTAAAAATATTCGTAAAACATTTCAGGTTTCTAATATTATTTTTATAGGTCATCGACAAAAACCAAATCGAAAATAAAAACCAGAAACCGGTATTTACGTAAATATACATTTCCCTTTTCTCAACATTTTATAAAGCAAGGAAAATAAAATTAATACCTTCTCAATCCACCAACTAGACTTCATTTTCTACCGGAAACCCCTCGCGATGAAGTTGACGATTGGTGTTTAATTTTCGGTAGAAAAATAGTTCACAATAAAAAAAAATTTTAAAAAAAAAAACACATAATAATAGTACGCTATTCCTTGCTATACCACCCTTAAAATTTAAACAGAATACTTCATAGTGACGGAATTAATAACACATGATTCCGCTAATGTGTGTTATTATATTATATTTTTATAACAGTGCACTGAAATAATAAAGTTAATACCAAAAAAAAAGAGCTGATACTGAGACGGGTGCAGCCACAGTTATAGGTGGGAAGTTGGGAAGGTAGGATACATAAGATTATTTAATTTATATCTGTAGGAAACGATAAACCATTGCTGACGAAAGACGATTCTGAGCGTAGTTCGGTTATTCATAATTTGAAGTGCTTTAATTTATTTGCTATTTTCGTTTGAATTTGATTTCAAAACGTTTATTAAAAAAAAAAATTCAACAAAAAAGGTCTCTTTTCGTGGTAAGTACTTCTTTAAAATAACGAAATCGTGAAAAAAATTGTATTTTTTTCCCGGTTATTCGTTTTTATTTTAAATACCGTTTTGAAAATCAATTTTTTAAATTCTATCACATCTAGGTAAGTCCAATATAAGTATTATTACTAAGTCGCAAGTCTTTACGTGTATTTATAACCGAATTATAATAAAAAACTCCCAAAAATTAAAATTACTTAAAAACTCATAAGTCGGAGTCTAAAAAACACACAAATATTACGATAGTAAAAACACAATTTATTATTATTATTTACGAGTAGGTAGGAAAATATGAATAAAATGTACTTATTATATTACTATATATAATTATAAATAAAAAGTCTGCGTACGCATGGGCGTAAAATGGGTCAACATTCAAAAAGATTCACGGGATGAAGACTGTCATAATTTTTGTCTTCATCAAAAACATAATAACGAAACCGTATAATATACACAGTGTCCCACAGTGTTTTCCCAGTGGTTGATCTCTTTGTTAATATTCGATTTCTTTTTGTTATTATTTTTCTTTTTCTTAGTCGGATTTTGTATTAAGTCGGTATTATTATAATTTATAATTTATAATAATAATTTATTTACGGAAATTTCCAATTACAAAATAATAAATCGATAGTATGCAGCTTATATGAACATGGTAAAATAAAAAATTAAAAAATAATAAATAATAAAGTTAAGTTGAACAATTAAATTAACATACAAAATAAATAAAAATAGAAAATAATTAATACATCGAAACATGTATTAACATATCAGACAAAATAATCTTAACCTAAAATAACATTATAATAAATAAATTAAAACATAATGAAATAAATTAGGATAGTAAATAAAATTAATTGGATAGAGTAATTGACAAGTAGAGTGACATTGAATATATCTAAATTATGGATTGAATTTCCCGCGGTCATAAGGACATTTGCGAGGGTGTATAGCATGCATTTTTTACTGATTTGTGAAGGATAAAATAGAGATTTTTTTTTTAAATTATTATTATAATATATACTGAGAAAAAAAATAAAGTTTTGTATTTTCATCCCTTCATCACCAGAAAAAAATAACTTTTTGTTCGTTCAGTTCTCACAGTTATCAAAATAGCCACGTTGTAATAGAACTAATAGGTTCCCATTTTTTTTGGCCGCGAGACCATACCTACAAAATTGATTGGAAAAATGATTTAACTTGGAGGATATTTATCGTCGGAGTTTATTAATACATTTATCGTACACATCGCTAATGTCATCATCACCTGATAAATATAAGTGAGGTTAAAATAAAAATGACAACAAATAACCTAGTTTGGATCCAAACAGAGGCATTAGCGTCGGGGACGCCCTTCGTACAATGTAATATAATAATATAAAATAAATACGATATCGTATGCGAGAAACGCGGTACCGCGTAAAACAATGACTGTGTAAAAAATATCGTCGTCGCCAGAGCATTTTTTTCCCACGTGGTTTATTATTTATCGGCAGCAATGAACGTTTACAAAATATTAACCAACAGTTTTTCCAGGGTATAATATATAAAACGAAAATAAACGAGACATTGTTATTACCTACGAATAATAACAATATTACACTGAGCGGTGGCGTCTGCCACAAGAAACGAAAAATCATACTCTAAAGAGTTACAGGTAGTGTATAGGTAGAAGTACCTATAGTACCTATACATTCAGCAGTGCCGGTAGAAGATATTTCTGAAGAGTGCGGCAGATTAAAAATCTCTTTAGCCGTATTTCCCAATTGTATTTTCGTTTATATAAACGTGCGTGTACTCGCACGACAAAAAAAAAAGCGCAAGTATAATATTTTTTTGTTATATTATGGCGGGGTGTTGTGCGTGTTACATTATCCTGACTTATTCCCGCGTGGGACGAGCAGCTACATGGCTGCGACGAAAACGGCGATTGTGACGTGCGCGAATGTTGAACTCGAGTGATTGTTATATTTCTTTTATAATAGTGCGTACGATGGGCGCAATAGCGTTTGAAAGTCGAGAACGGATATTCATTCTTGTGTGTTGAGAAACGAAAAGAGAAAAAAGGTATTTTCGTTTATCTGATGTTCTCGAACCATAAGCACTCCTAGAAAACACGTCCAAAACGACATCAAAACAATAAAAATCCCGGAGGAAACATATGCTTTGCATCTTGGGTCTATACTAGCCATTCTCAACCTTTATGTATATACAAACCAATTATTTGCCCGATTTTTCACGTGACATTTGTTTAAATTCAAATTCAAAGATGGCGGAGGGGTCTCGTCAACCGGGTAATTTTTTTAGAACATTTTTAGAAAATATTTGGGACTATAGAATAATATTTTAAATTAAGTACCTGCCTTCAGAACAGGAAATGGTTTAGCCCCAAAAATAAGGGTGGTAAAAAATAACATTCGTATACAATTGTAGTGTAGCTTGTTTATTAAATATTTTAGAAAACAAATTCCTTAAAAAGTAAATACTTTCCGAATTAACTAGTGTCTTACGGTAGATTAATCACTCTGTATAATAAGGTGTGAAAGTTTCGGATTATTTCCATACTTCACTGAACATTTTTTATAAAAATGTGACTTATCAATAATTACATGACGTAGATACAACAACATAACGGCGTCACAGTCCAATGTGTCAACCAACGAAATATTATATAAAGAAATCAGAGATACGTAAATTTGAGTAAAATTTGTTGTAAAGCGAATTTGTGAATAATCATAAGCTATCATAAATAGAATAAACAGAAAATAATATTTTCTTAAAAGGCCAATGTACTTATACAGGGTGATCAACATAATGTAAGACATTCATTATTCCCGAAAGTATTTAATTTGTTCGTAATTTATTTTTTAGATTATTTAAGAAATAAGTAGCTTTAAAATGTTACATATCGGGGTTTTTTTTGTTACCCTTATTTTAAGGGGTTATTCCATTACCTAATTTTGATTTACAAATAGAAACCCAAATCAAAAACTCCATAAATAGATGGAGTATTAGTTTAAATAAATATTGGTATTGAATTTTTTTTTTTCCATCGACTCGTCGACGAGATATTGCACTTTTAAGTTTGGGTATGAGAGAATGATAGAACACTAATTAAACACAACGTGCTTGCCGCCACAAAAATGATGCTCTTTTACCCTCTTTCCACTAAAATGTATAAGTAAAATATCTCACTAAAGGATTGACAAAAATTACAACCAAATTTCATTTAAACTAATACTCCAACCAGTTATGCCATTTTTATAACGGAGTATCGTTTTAAAATAAAAAGTAGGTAGTGGCAGTTTCACTCCTTAAAATAAAAATGATAAAAAAAGAGTTATGTAACATTTTAAAACTACTTATTTCTTAAATGATATAAAACAAAGTTCGAAAAAAGTTAATACTTTCCGAGGTAATGAGTGTCCTGTGATTTTACTAAGCTGATTATAACCCTATATAATACTCTCAATAAAGTATATATGTAGATACCGACCTACTGACTAAATAAAACATTGTATGACTGGTAACTGAAGATAAGTAAATACAGACCAACAACAGCTAGTGAATCTGGCAACCTGCGTTCGATAAAATATATTGGCATTCTCTTTGGTCACGATTTTACTTACGAGTTATTGTACTAAATTAATCTTCTTTTTCTTCACTGGCATTTACAACTCTATTCTTTAGCCTTTGTTGTCATCACTACTTCCTTCTATTCCTCGTGATCCTGAACAATATCCTTCAATTCTCGCATTCCCATACCTTTAAA